TAGATGAACTGAATAATAAAAATAAATAGAAAAATATTTGTTGATGATGAAATAGAAAATGTGGCCGCTACCAGTTTATAATCCGAATAAATAATTTGTTTGAATTTGAATCTCAGCGCTAAAAAGCACACTCTGCTGCATTTCATTGGTTTTAATTTAATTTCTATTTATTTTACCAGTGGACCTAAATTTTTGGTAATAATGTGTGAAACCAAATGAAAACTGTTTCTCTATCAACAACAGTTGTGAAAATAAAAATCAATAAATATTGACACCTTATATTAGGGTTAATACCAAGTTTATTGTTATTGTATTTAGTTGTTTGATTGAACTGAGTTTTTTTGGGTTAATCCAAAAATAAATATTTGAAATGAATGAGCTTAGACGTTTTCACTTTTCTACATTAGTCTATGCACGTATGTATGCGAATACTGTTCGCACTTCATATAGAAGCCACTCAGCAAGTCTTATAACTGCGTAGCTTGTACTTCTTCGCTCCAACTCTTCAGCATTTTCAGTACTCAACACGCGTGTCGGATATTTAAATATATATTTTCATATATGCGTAAATATATGTTGAGGATAGCAAAGCGTGATTTTGGGTATCTTAATAAATGTACACTTCAACATATACCCATTTAAATGACACGAAGTCCCTAAAAATACACACACACCAACAAGGAAAATATACACTGACGCGCATACAACAGTGTATTTTGGTTAAGCAACTAAAAAAAAAATTGTGTTTTCTTTTTGTTTTCCTCTCAGTACAAAAACCGGTTTTGAAAAATTACTTTTGCTTTCGCAGAAGGGCACTCACCGGTGAAAATTTCGCAGCCTTCATCTGCGGTTTTATATTCATTTCGTCTTAAAATTATTTCTTCAAATGTTTATTTGTTTTCTTTCGTTCCGAGCTTTTTTTTTTTTGGAAATACTGCAGTATACTCGTATGAGTGAATATGCATATGTAAATAAATAAATACATAAATATTGTATGTTTGTAACCACTAAACATCTGACTCACTGTCACTATTCGCTGACAATGCGCATTTGCAGCGTCACATTTGCCATGGTTTCATAAAATTTTGTAAACCCACATTCGAATGCATATATATACATACATACATATCGTTTGCATATATGCTAAGTAAAATAGTAAATGGTGCAAGTAAATGTTTTGTGTTTTGGGTTTGCCTCTATTATGCAACGCGGTTCCAACGTTTGAGTCATGAATTTTAGATTGCCAAACGAAAGACTTTCGACACGAACCTGAAAAGCTTGGAATTATTGTATGTTGACGCATCATTTATTAAGTTGTGAGTTATAAATCAATATCAACCCGAAAGTTTGTTTCTCTATTTAAATGTATTTATACAAATAAACGCTGCTAAGATGTCGAAGACAGTTAAAACACTAATAAAAAAAATAAAATTAATATTAAAATCTAAATTAAAATATTATTTAAGTTAGAATTAAAATTTAAACTAAATTCAAATTAAACTTAGAATTAAAATTTAAACTAAATTGAAATTAATTTTGACATTAAAACTAATATCAAATTTAAAACTAATATTTATTGGATGAGTGCATAAGTTCGTGTCCGATTCCGCTGGATGCCGTTCGAATCGTTTGAAAGAGGCGCTCGTGAAAGAAATATATACATATTGTATATCGTTGGAAAGATGACAGTCTGAACTGTAAATTAAGCATAAAATAACTTCATTTTGATTTGAGTTGCTTAGTGAAAAGACGCATGGAAGATGGACAACGAAAAAGATCATATGCGTCATATTATGTTATACGAATTCCGCAAAGGAAAAACAGTAGGCGCTGCAACTAAAGATATTCGCGAAGTTTATTTGGACCGTGCTCCAGCACTCCGCACAGTAAAGAAATGGTTCGCGAAATTTCGTTCTGGAGATTTTAACCTCGAAGATCAACCTCGCAGTGGACGGCCTTCTGAGCTTGATGACGATGTTCTAAGGACTTTAGTTGCGAATAACTCACGTATTTCGACGGAAGAGGTTGCCAGTGAATTGAACGTCAACAAATCAACTGCGTTTCGTCGTTTAAAAAAGGTTGGGTACACTTTGAAGCTCGATACATGGGTGCCACATCAGTTGAGTGAAAAAAACAAAGTGGACCGTATGTCAACAGCAATTTCTTTGCTTCGACGGATCAAAAACGAACCTTTTTTGGATCGGCTCGTGACTGGTGATGAAAAATGGATCCTGTACAACAATGTTCAACGCAAAAGAACATGGAAACAGGCACACGAAGGGGCGGAACCGATGTCGAAAGGTGGATTGCATCCGATGAAGGTACTGCTGTGCATTTGGTGGGATATCCGAGGCGTGATCTATTTTGAGCTCTTGCCAGCTGGAGAAACGATCACTGCCAACAAGTATTGTCAGCAATTGGTCGAATTGAAGAAAGCAATTGATGAAAAACGTCCGATTTTGGCCAATCGCAAAGGAGTTCTTTTCCATCATGACAACGCCAGGCCACATGTTGCAAAACCGACCCTGGCCAAACTGAAGGAGATGAATTGGGAAATCATGCCGCATCCCCCATATTCACCCGACATTGCACCTTCTGATTATCATTTGTTTCGATCGCTGCAGAACAATTTGAATGGAAAAAAATTTAAAAATGTGGAAGACGTCAAAAACCACCTTGACACCTTTTTCAACGAGAAACCGCGCGATTTCTATGAATCAGGCATCCGTAAATTGGTTGAACGTTGAAAGTGCATTGTCAAACATGATGGCGAATACATAATTGATTAATAAAAGCGCTTTATTCAAAAAATTTCAATTTTAGTGTGCACTTAAAATCGGGCACGAACTTATGCACTCATCCAATAAATTAATTAAAATGATAAGGTCTTCAGGTATATATATGATACAAAAATCTGCAATAAAAATTTTTATGTATGATCCGATTTCGGTCAAATAGGGACCGCTTTGTTCGATAATCATTTGTCATTTTGAAGATAATGTCATTATGCCCCTCTCCTAGAAGCCCTCGTTCGTATTGGCAAATAATTGAGACAGTCGATTCTCACAAACCTCTCTTGAAACGAAATTTTCACTAGCAAAATTTTTAACCATGGGCAGGAATGGATGGTAATTACTTGGTACCAGATCCGGACTATAAGGTGGGTGCAAAGCAAGCGGAACTCTTGCTAAGTGTTTCTCTATTGGCTCTCTCAATATTCATTGTTATGTTCAAAAAATATAGACAAAGATCGTCTGAAATTAAAGTCAGCATCAGTTTAACGGTTTTTTGTCTCTTAAACTTTCCAAAAAGGATTTATTTGACCAATTTATGCCATCACTTTTGACATTCTCTCTAATAAGTAACAAGTTTTGACACATTCTATTCGAAATATAACAGCATTTAGTATTTCAAATTTATTTGTACTACCGTAATAATGTCTCAAGCTATAAAAATATTATATATAATATATAATTGGCGCTTTTTTGTAACCGCTGGAGCGATTTTTGGCCGAGCTCCTTCTCCAATTTGTGGTTTTGCGTATTGCTGTTTTTCCAACAAAATGGAGAGACCTACAGTTCATACTAAGCCGCCTCCGAACGGCTGATGGTTTTTTTGATGAGGAGTCTTTATTTCATGTCCGAAATACACTCAGAGGGGTGGACATTCCCTGCCGAGGGGCGACTGTAATTAGAAAATTTATCTTAATTTATTGTTTAAATTAATTTTCTATGACTTTTGGATGTTGGTCGCACGGGGATTTGAACCCGAGCCTTCCGAACGGCAGTACGCAATGCTAACCACTCGGCTACCGCGGCCGCCCAAACATTATATGGACTAAGATATTTGAAAAATTCGGTTCAAATTTTTTGTATTTTTTTTTTTTTTTTTGTTTGAATTCGAAAAGTGGGAAATTAAATTGGTGTTCACACACATTCAAATTTCGTTTCAACCTTTTTCTTTCCATTATAAAATGTATAAAAACTAATTTTTAAGTTTGTTTACTTTTACTTTTTATCAATTCTTCGCCACTTTGTTAATATTTTCGTTATATTTAACAACCGGAGCAGCAGTTCTTATGAGAAAATGTTTCGAATTGAGAATTAAATGGCTGAAAAGTTCCCAATTAGCTAATTGCGTGGCAGTATGAAAAGTGCTTAAAATAACTCATGGCAAAACATATCTCTTTTTATTTTAATAGGGGCTACGAAAGCTAAACATCATTCTTTGCTGGTTTGTATAGCCACAACTTTGACTTATGTTTGATATATTCAATCAGATTTAATTTCCTTTAAATATATTTAATTTCATATGACAAGGCAAGAGGGATTATAGTACCATTTCTCTCAAATTTTAATGAATTTCTTTACTTTCAAACTCAGCAAGAAAATCAGAAAATGTCCAGATCATACACGAGTTCTATTGAAATCGCTTAACTTTAGCTACAATAAAGTTTTTGATTCGTTCACTATCAAGCGAATAACACAAATAAAAAAGAATAATTTGCCGAAAGTGTTAAATTTTCCAAACAAATACTTTCTAATGAAGCTTCCCAAAAAGTTTTAATTACGCATAAGAAAACCAGAGGCAATAAAAGAGAAATAAGCCTACCTAGGCAAAGCATTTCTCGGCTAGATAAATGAAAGAAAAAATAACTTTGTGCAAATGCAAGGTGAAATGAAGTAACAAAAACACTAAAAATAAAGTAAAATTAAGTAAAGTGCATATGTGAGATTCTAAATCCGGCATAACAACGATTTTTCGCGCAGATTTAGATTTCACCGCGCTAGACTTTTACGATCGCACTCACATACGCGTCAGTCTTCAGTTACAATACTCACATACACGTATGTACATAGTTAGCTAAATACTTAGTGAGCTACTGAGTGTTCGCTAGTTAGTTATCCATGCTTAAATGCACAGCCTAAGTGTGTAAGCCTCATCATTGAAGCTATGGCCTTACTGAGCTTTCTATTATTTATGTAGCGTGAAAAACTCACCTTCACTTTATACACGCGTCTCGTTACAACAGTGATGGCTGTAGCAGCAGCAGCAAAGACAGCATCAGCTTAATCCACACGCATGCACACTTGCACTGCAAGTCGTTGGAATAGCGTTGCAGTGAGTGTCGCAGAGCGTGAAAATCGCAAAATGAAGTTTACTATCAGCAAACAATGTTCAAAAGAAGAAAAGGAAACAACACAAACGTATGACCAATGCCGGGTTGCTCAAAACTCCGTAGAAGATTATATATTTTGAAAAAATTACTTTATGAATTAGGGTGGTTCAGTTTTTGTATTTGTAGCACTAAGATTTTCCACACAAAAAATCACTTCAAACACTTTTTTCGAAAACAACTTTTAACACTAAATATTGCATTTTTTAATTGCAGTTCTGAGTTTATACAAATTTTTTAAGTGCCGCATAAATCTATAGAAAAAATAATAATTTTGAGAGTAATTATTATATAGTATATAGTAATTAGTATATATTCAAAATTATTAAATAATTCACCATTTTAATTTTAGTTACTATTTTGTTTAATTTAATAAAATTTTATTTTTTTTTAATTCATATTAAATTCATATTAATTTACTTTATTTTATTTTATTTTAACTAATTTTTTATTTTGTATTTTGTGTGTTAAATTTATTTTGTTTTATTTAATAATAATTTATTTATCTTTATTGGAATTGTCACCTTTATTTTATTTTAACTTGTTTTATAAATAAAAATTTAATTGGAATTTATTTTATTTAACTTTATGTAATTTTTTGTTTGGTATTTTTGTTTGCTTTTTTGTTTTATATCATTTCTAAAATATATTTTATTTTAAAATGCCCTATTTTATTTTGTTTTTTATTATATTTTTTTAATTTTTATTTTAATTAAATTATTATTATTTTTTGTATATTGTTTTATTTTATTTTATTTTATAATACTATTAATTATTTATTTTGTCTTCTTGTGTATTTTATTTTATCTTATCTAATTTTTTTTTCTGTCTTATTTGGTTTTATTCGTATTAAATTAGTTTATTTTATTTTATTTTATTTTAATTTATTTTATTTTATTTTATTTTATTTTATTTGTTTTATCCAATCTTTTATTTAAAAATATTTTTTTTATTTTGATTTATTTAACAATAATTTCTTTTATTTAAATTGTCACCCTTATTTTAAGTTACCTTGTTTTATATTATTTATAATTTGATTGGAATTTGTTTTATTTTAATTTATGTCATTTTTTGTTTGGTATTTGGTTTTATTTTGTTCTTTTTTAATTTATTTTGTGTTATATTTTTTTAGTTTAATTAAATTATTATTTTTCTGTATATTGTTTTATTTTATTTTATAATAATATTATTCATTTATTTTGTCTTTTTGTGTATATTATTTTATTTTATCTAATTTTTTATTTTAATAATTTATTTTCCTTTCTTTTATTTATTTTTATGTTACCTTGTTTTATAAATAAAAATTTGATTAGAATTTATTTTATTTTAATTTATGTAGTTTTTTGTTGGACATTTTTTGTTTTTTATCATTTTTAAAATATATTTTATTTTAAAATACTCTATTTTATTTTGTTCTTTTTTTAATGTTTATTTTAATTAAATTATAATTTTTTTCATTTTACTTTATTTCACTTTATTTTATTTAATACTAATCTACTAATTTTTTTAGTTAATTTTATTTTGCTTTATATTATGTTTTTATTTTTAATTATTTAAATTTTTTATTTTTTATACTTGATTTTTTTTTATTTTATATATTTTTTAGTTGATTTCATTTTATTTTTGATTTTTTTTATTTTATTTTATTTTAATTTTCGTGATTTTATCAATTTATTTTTATTTATTTTAAATTACTTCATTTAATTTAATTTAATTGTATTTATTTTTTTTTCATTGCGATTTATGACAATTCACCGTTGCCTTACATAATTCAATAAATCAGCAATTTAAGTTGACAGTGTTTTATTTACATATTTGCATACATAAATCCTTAGTTATTTATTGCTTCGTGAGCATAAAAGCACAGACAAGATCGCTGATGAAAATGCATGTCGGTGACAATGCAATTTATTATGTTAGTGTACTTGCAACATATTGCAGCATGCCCACTTCTAAACAAAAACAATTAAAAACACTCCTATGCACGCATACACTCATACCTGCCACCCATATAATACACATACATATACGAGTTTAAAGTACAAAAAGAGGCAGCAGCTAAACTCCCCAGTTGTTGTTGCTTGGGAAAAATGGCACAAGAAAATAGCACAAGTAACAGTTTCTCAACTGCAACTTTTTGGAACGCAACTGAATGTCAAATGCATTGTCAGCCAATACAACAAGAAAATGAAGGAAAAAAACGCAACAAGTAGGAAATAAATATAAACAAACAGCAAATAACAGAATCAAGAACGTCAAGTATAAAACGAGTGCGCCAAAAGCTGGCATTGGCCTGTTGCCAAAAAATAAACAAAAAAGAAAAAATAATAAAAAATAATGTAAATAAATTTGACTTGTTGCTGCTATTTGCCAAACTCTTCCATTTGTTGTTGTTTCTTGTCGTCTTTGGTTTTAGCTCGTTTGGCTTTGCAACGCGTGTGTTTTTTGTGGAAAACTTGCATGTCGCTATGTAGCTTTGTCGTACTCGTCAGTTGATCGAATGCTTGGATACTCGTTCGTTAGTTAGCCCGGGCTGTCAATCCTGTTTGGCATACCACCTGAATGTCCGGTTAGTAGCGCTGCTAGCTTCTAACGTCTCACTTACAAGTGCAGCGAATTGCGTTTGTGGCGGCAATTTTGCAAGATTGCTTAGATATACATATATATACTTGTACATACATTTATATATAAGAAAGTTAAAAAACCCATTTCATTTTATTTTTCCAACTAGCAAACCTCCGACTGATTAAAAATCGCCCAAAATCAACAACAACCGAAAAACTGTAATGCAAAAACAAGATTCAAATTTTGGTGTACCGTTGTTATAACTAAGCCATCAGACAATCAATGTGCCAGCCACGCATTCGCAATTACCAACAAATAACAATCGTGATTGCCAAATTGCTAGTTCCAATTACAACATTGCCAACAGCAACAACAAGTTAACTGCTGAAGCTGATGCAGCGTCAGCAACGATGTCAATCGTCAGACATTAAGTGTATTGCGACAACAACAATCAAGCTACTACGAAACTGCTTGTTGAAGGTTAAGGAGAGAAGAATAAATAATTGCGAAAATTTTGAAAATTTTATCCAGAAAAAAAAATACTTTGGCTGTTTTTTAGTAATGCTTCGGCTGGATATGAGCCACTTTTTGATTTAAAGAAAAATTTATTTTTTCGATCAAACATCAATATGAGTCTTATATTTAAGAATAAATGTAGAAAAATTGGAAATTTCGTTATGCTTTGTAGCCTTTTCTTGATTATGAATCGTAAGCAATTTGGCTTTGGGTCGGTTTCACCACACATATATTTATCACATACAGGGTTATCCATTTTGCGATTGCAAAGTTTGATCCTTGGCATTATAACAGGTGTGAAAAAACACTTTGATCCGTTTGAGTTAAGTTTCGACCACTTTTTGGCACATATCGGGCGTTATCTCAGCCATAACTTTCCCTATTTTGGTTTTGAAAAGCTAAAGGGTTAAAGCGTTATCCGCATAGACACGGTATTTTGCGTAGCCCCGCAAAAAGAGTCCAACGATGTAAAAACCGCACGATCTCCGCGGCCAATTGTCATCACCAAGAGAGATAGCGTGACCAAGGAACTTCCCTCACAATAAAGCCATTTTCGCTCGTATTGTGTGGCATGCGGCACCAACTTGTTTAAACCACATTTTCTGCAAGTCGTACTCTCCTCCGGAACAAAGAACCGCACCTGTTTTGTTTTTTTATGTAATGGCCTCTCTGCAATTATTGTAGAATTCTTGGTGCTCCAAATGCGACGATTTCGCTTGTTTACGTAGCGAACGAGTGAGAAATGTGCCTCCTTTTGTTTGAAAAGTCGGCGCCCACGGCTTGTTGTTCAAGCTCACAACCGACGAGAGGCTTCACTTGTTGCATAAGCTGGACTTTATATGGGTGTAGGTGTAAGTCCAAGTGAAAATAACCGTAATATTCTCTTAAGACACGAGCCGGCTATGCTTGAATCACTATTTTCCTTGTAGGAAATCGCATTGTGCGATTGTCTAGCGATCCAACTTCATAAATTCCAGACTTTTACCTAAAACAAAACATGTTTGGTTTGACAGATGTAAAAATGCAGGCAGTAACCTCAAATTTTTGACGAGCGTCTCGATGTTTTTTCTAACAAATGATTACCGTACCAACAGTTTATTCTAAGAAGAGGACTGATAAAACTACTCATCGTTTGGTGTTGAATTCTGTGCCGCATGAAAGATTGAAAGATCAAAAGCATGTCGTTCATTCACGACTAAGACGCTCAAGTAAACTGATCGAATTTGTCAGAGGTCTGTGGATCACAGCCCTCAAGAGTCATACCGCCACGACGCTCAGCAATATGGCGTCTATGGAACCAATTTGCGGTGCTTTTGGATGAAAGATTGGAGTTTGTTTCCGCGTGAAGGGAAATTTACAAAAAAAATATTGCCCACCGAACGTCCTCGCCGTTTCGGTCAAACAGTCGTACGCACTGTCGTTAAGCCTGATTATGGAATGAAATTTTTTTTTTTTTGGCGCCAATAAGCATTTGACATACGTAAAACCCGTTCGAGATCTATGAAAAACCATTACATGACGAAAATGTTGCTGTTTGGTAATTATATATATTGGTAATTATTTGATGTTGATACAGGCTGCCTTTATGTATGTATCTGCCGGATAATATCTTGCCCGAAAGTATTGAATTTTTGTAAGAAAAACCCCGCGGCTGCTCGTTTAATTCTTCAAACTTGACTCACACTGAGCTTAGAGGGTTTATTTGAAATATAAAATCGGTCCATTGACGATCTCACGATTGGTGGTGCTGGTTTCAACATAGATGGAATCATCTACGAACTGGAAGTTATGACTGTCAGCAGTGATATGGAAACCAAGCCGTAAGTAAGCCAACTGTGTATCTCACGACAGCGGATATTTCGTCTTGTCATCGTTAAAAAAGCAAAAGCAAACAAAAAAACTTAAATTCGATACTAAAACGTATACAAATTTCTAATATTGAGGTCCTCAAACGAAAAAATTTGACGTCCAGGGGTAAAGCCACTGTAGAGGTTGAAAATAAACTAATTTTTTTGATTTATT